AACGGCCCTGGGCGTTTACTAAAAGCCCTGCCCTGTTGGACTCCTTCCTTGGATGCGTTTACTAAACGGCTTCGCTTGTCGGGGTGATTCTTATGGGGGTGATTATTATAGCTGACGCGTGTATGCACCTCACTGCGTTCGCAGGCTAATGTTATACTGCCAGAGTCGGGCACACTACTGTGGAGATAGTGGAGGGTTCGCAGGCGCCACGTGGTCTTGGCAGGGTACTACAGCACGTGTAAGGGGCCAGTTGCGAACCCTACCCCCCCACGATTTCTGAGGGGGAGGGTGGGGTTCCATCCGCTCCCCGAACTAAGTGAACCTCCCCCTCCACCTCAGAAATCGTGGGGGGTAGGGGTAGGGTTCGCATGTGGCCTCCTGACGTGGCACTAACGCACCGCAGCTGGGTCTAGCGTCAGCCCCCGCCGCTACCACCTGAACAAAACGGCCACCAGGAAAATAGAGCGCATGAAATGGCCAGCCCGGAACAGCGCTGGACCTACGTACGTGGCCGCGTGTCTTTCCGGCGCCAGGCCTTCTTACGGCCGGGCACGATGGGCATTCGCATGCGTACCCGAACGCTCTGAGAAGGCCGCGGCGTTCGAGACATCCTCCAAAGCCGCCAGATCCCAGAGATTCTCGATTCATCATCACCCGATGTTATCCTCATCCTGGCTTCGTCTTTTGTCAAAACTGTGCAGACCAGGATTTTGTCAGACCCAGTGGGGGAGAGAACATACAATGGATAATGCTGCGGTCCACGGCTGTATGCTGCAGGCTCTCGGATGTAGCACTCTCTCGGTTGATCCACGACCCCGTTCTCACGGCTGCCTGTGCTCCGCATGTCATATGCCTCCAGCCGTGTGCGTCTGCAGGGGGAAGAGGAGGATGAGGAAGAACAGGAGGAGGAACAGGAGGAACATGAGGAACAGGAGAAACAGGACGAATGGGAGGAGGAGGAAGGGGAGGAGGAGGAGGAGCAAGAGGAGGAGGGAGGAGGAGGAGGGAGGGGGAGGAGGAGGAAAGAGAAGGGTGGAGGAGGAGGAGGAGGGAGGAGGAGGAGGAGGAGGAGCAGGAGGGGGAGGGGGAGGAGGAGGAGGAGGAGGCGGAGGAGGTTGGAGGAGGAGGAGGAGGCGGGAGGAGGAGGAGGAGGGTGGATAGCAGCAGGAGGAGGAGGGTGGAGGAGGAAGAGGAGGAGGAGGGGGAGGAGTAGAGGAGGAGGAGGTAGGAGGAGGAGGGAGGAGGATTAACGCACTTGGCGTGACGCCGCGCAGTGATCCGCCCTCGCCTTGCCCTTTCCTCGATTTGAGCTAGCTCGTGCACAGAGAAGGGGACAGGCAATGGCCCATCCAGCGTGCTAGCAAGGTGCGACTCGCCCCCACCGAGGATCACGGGGCGGGCCGCCAGCACGGACGGCTCAGGAGAGCCAGGCGCAAGCGCCAAGATATGTAAGAAACAAAAACCCAAAACGAGCGCTAGGCCCCAGAGGGGCCCAAGCGCAACCAGTGCGTTTCGGGGTCGGTGGCCAAAAGAGGCCGAGGGGTTCGAAGGGTGCGGCCGTTAGGCCTGCCTTCATCGGCAGGGTGCCGACCCTCCAAGAACAGTTTGCGATTACGAGTCGCTTTCTCCGACATTTGGTTGAAGTCGGTAGGGCGACAGTCCACAAGGAGGTGACTTGCGACCCCTGTGATGTAAAAACCGCAACGAATACACAGAACAACCTCCCCTGGGGCGACCCAGCACCGATGCCCTCTAGCCGCCTCGGGCGGCACGATGCCAGCAGCTGGCAACGGGGTAATCGGCACGGTGGTGTCGCTCAATCTGGGGCGGGGGTTGTTGCGTGCTTGACGCCTACGCTTTACTCTGGTGAGGTCGGCATCGACGTCCGCAATGGCTCGATCCTGCTGTTCCTGGCCAGGAGACCGAGCCAAGACGATAGGATCAACAGTGACTCTCGGCCTAACGCTGCGACTGCCCTCGCCTTCGGAACTAGGCGAGCGAGGACGACAGGACGACCGACGAAGGTCCGAAACGTCGACGAAGACGTGAGGAGGCGAGGAGGCAGCAGCATGGGCGCTACCAGTGCTCCTCTCAGGAATAGGAGCCTCCGTCCCCATGGCGGTGTCGTCGCCAGCCACGGCCACCTCACTGGGAAGCTGCGCGTCTCGGCCAGCTTCAGCGTCTAAGAGACGTCGAGGCCGATGGGGACGCGTCAGAGCCCATGGAGGAGCCGACGGCCAACGCAGGCCCAAAGGGGCCAGGCCTGGGGACTTCTGGGAGCTCCGATGCCTCGAGGCCGAGCGTAGCCGCCGAAGCCCGAAGGCGAGCAGGGCAAGAGAGGGCCTCGAGACGACCGACTCTCACGGCAGTCTTAGC